CCAATACATCAAGATCCTCCGTGAGCTGTATTGCGGATTCACTACCAGGATCTCACCATTCTACAAAGAAGTAATCATTGATGTCAAGAGAGGGGTTCGGCAGGGTGATACCATTTCACCGAAACTCTTCAGCGCTACCCTCGAGAACATCATGCGACGACTGGAATGGGAAGGAATGGGAGTGAAGATAGATGGTCGGCAACTACACCACCTCCGCTTTGCTGATGACATTGTTTTAATAACACCAAACATCAGCCAAGTGGCACAAATGCTGGCCGACTTTGACCGTGAGTGTGGAAAGGTAGGACTACAGCTGAATCTTACAAAGACAATGTTTATGAGAAACAGCCTCGTTCCTGACGCCCCATTCGCTCTCAACGGAATGACCATCTCCGAATGCAACAGCTATGTGTACCTAAGTCGAGAAGTCAACATGAGAAATGACCTGGCACCCGAGCTGCGCAGGAGGAAGAGAGCGGCTTGGAACGCCTTCAAGAACATCGAAGAAATAACTAAGAGGATGAAGAACCTCTGGCTCTGGGCACATCTCTTTGATTCCACTGTTCTTCCTGCATTAACATATGCCTCAGAGACCTGGGCCCTATGCAAACAGGATGAGAATGCTATTCAGGTCTCCCAAAGAGGAATTGAAAGAGCTATGCTTGGAATATCACGTTTCACTCAAATGAGAGAAAGAATCCAGAGTTCTGACATCCATTGACGATCAAGAATCAGGGACGCTGTCTCGTTTGCCAAGGTGTCAAAAATCAGATGGGCTGGTCACGTAATGAGATATAAAGACGACTGCTGGACTAGAGCTGTTACCGACTGGATTCCACAGGATGTCAAAAGACCGCGTGGCCGCCCACCTACCAGATGGTCAGACTTCTTCATCAAGATCATGAACGATGCTCTCTCTTCTCTGGAAAGAAAGATGGCGGCCGCATGGAAGCCTTGTGGACAGCAGGTATGAACCGGGGGTGTGGGGACGACTAAAACCTCATGGGAAGGGGGGCGTTCTGGTCTGTCCTTCACGCCCTACCGAGGCCACCAGTTGCTCCCCACGAGCGGCTCTCCAGCACGGCCACAGCCCCAGAAGCACAAGGACTTAATGCAGAACCCAGCAGCTTGGAGCAGAAAAGTGAAAGGACTATGCGTTAATCCAGGCCATCATGTCTGCCCGGAGGGGAAAGGGTGTTGCCCCATTCACCCTCTCCTCTCTGGAAAGAAAGATGGCGGCCTCATGGGAGCCTTGTGGACAGCAGGTATGAGCCAGGGGTGTGGGGACGACTAAAGCCTCATGGGAAGGGGGGCGTTTCGGTTCGTCCGTCACGCCCTACCGAGGTCTCCAGTTGCCCCTCACGAGTGGCTCTCTGGCACGGCCACGACTCCAGAGCACAGAAACCAATTTCTTAATTATCTGACTTTCAGTAGAAATACTTCCAGGGTTAATAAGTAAAATAGCAGAAATCCAAAACCAACATTTAATTCTTGAACCCAGCTGTAGAAAGCAAATCACTTCGCAATGCTTTTTCAGCATGTCTGATTTGGGGGTGGTAAACTCTAAATAATAGTGGTGAATCTTTTATTGAAACAATGAATCTAATCAAAGCAGATAGAGTGTTAACTAGAATTCATCTGCCTCACAGGGACTGGGAGGGGTGGGGGTGGGGTTTTATTGGGGTTCTTCATGGTAAAAAATAAGTATTGGTAAAGGGAAATGTGTTTGATATTTGCATGACTGAGACCTAAACCTGAAAGCTTTGTAACTTTTCCCACAGTGATTCAATAAATAAATAAATTATAAAAAAAAAATCATGAACGATCGGTTTGAGGCTCTTCATGTTCCCAGAGCGAACAGATGCCATTGGGCTACACTAGCACGCGACAGGGACAAATGGAGACGTTACTGGCGCCCGCTCGAGCAAATCTATGACTAATGGGAAGTTAAGTGATTAAGTGATCTTTTTTAGACACCTGTATATTGTGTCCTAGTGAGATCACCAATTTTATTTATTTATTTTTATTTATTAGACCCTCCTCTCCCAGCTGTCATCAGAGCAACTTCCAAGGCAGGTGGTGCTATTTTCTAGCAATTCTGTATCTCTCAGATCACCTGGGAGGGGTCACCCATTGGATGTCTTCTGTGCCACAGCCATTAGAGAGGCTCTTGTCTCCTCTTTCCACACAATTTTCCTAAAATTTTCAGTCTTCTCCAGGATTGTCTGCCCTCCAAAACTTGTCTGTAAACTATCAAGAACCCATTTGAATCCACAAAATTAACTTTTCCTTTCCTTGTAAATCTGTAATAACGATCCTAATTTTTTTAAATAATCCTAATTTTTGAAGCAAATGGTAGCCTCTTTCTACAAGGACCCTGGCATCCATGATTTGTAAAGCTCCCATGAGATTCTAATACACAGCTGGATTTGGAGATCTCTATGGGAGTGTATATTGTGCTGGCAAACAAATAGAAATTCAGGTTCAGTACATATTCCTACCAGTGAACACTGTGATGCTCAAAGACTACCAGCTTGCGTCTCGAACAGTTTCTCAGCACAATGAACTTTATTCAGTGCCTTAGCTGACACTCCATCCCCCGTGCTGATCCCTAAGTAGATAGAGGATGTATGCTTGTCAAGATACCCAGAAATTCCCAAAAGGATAGTGTACATTCAAGTCATCATCTCACACTTGCTTTTAATTGAAAAAGAAAAGAAGCTTTGCTGTGTCAGAGGTGTGAAAGACACTGCATGGTGCATAGTGTCCATAGAAAACAGAGTAGATAATAATACTATACATCTCTGAGAGGGTTACACACTCACAGCACATTTTTTTGGTATTTATTTCTTTTATTGAATCACCATGAGATTGTTACAAGCTTTCATGTTTGGATTACAATCACACTATGATCAAACACTCATCCCTCCACCAGTGCACATTCCCCACCATCAATCTCCAAAGTATACATCCCCTTTCCCACCCTCCCCCTGCCTCCATGGCAGACAAAATTCCCCATACTCTCTACTTTTGGGCATTATGATTTGCAAAACAGATACTGAGAGATTATCATGTTTGGTCCATTATCTATTTTCAGCACATCTCCCATTATCTCCCATCTCCAGCCATCATTTTCTTAGTGATCCCTTCTCTATTCCAGCTGCCTTCTCCCCTCTGCTCATGAGGCAGGCTTCCAGCTATGGAACATTCTTCCTGGCCCATGTCTCTACTGTCCCTAGGTGTGAGCCTCATGTTGTTATATTTTATTCCACAAATGAGACTCACAGCACTTTTACTGCTATTAATGTTTGTATTACTCAAAGATCAGACCAAAATGAAATAAAATGTAAAGCAGGTGTTAAAAATATTCTGTCCTCTGGAATCTGTACCATTTGGTGACTGAAGCTGATCTGACTGACTTTGACTTTATTGCGCTTTCAAGCTGCAAGTCTGTTTCTGCATCACATAGAGAAGGGTAACAGAAAAGCATTTTTCTTCCCTTATAAGTGAAGGGGGGAAATGGAGGGAGGAGGGATTATTTAAACACACCTCACTCTCTGCGTTATTTTTCCTTTTGAAGCACCCTATTGGTTTAAAACCCTGTTGTTTAAAACCCTGTTCATTTTAAACTCCTTAAAACCTGTCCGGCACCTGTATGGCCCAGATCCAAAAATTATTACCGAACCCCTTGCCTTTTATGCTTAGCCACATAGGACTTTCTACAGTGGTGTATATGGTTCTTGTTCAGTTGAAAATCTCAGAGGTTTCAGAAGTTTTCTTATCCTGTAGCAGCTGAGAGCATACAACGTTTATATCTGACCTGATATTTGTTAATTACGGAAGGTATGCCCCACAGTGGCACCCCACCATTAGTTCTCCTGCCAGAGAAAATAGCATCGTGGCACTGCCCTATAGTGTTCCTCTGTGGAGATGCTTTTGAAATATTGATTAAAAGAGAGGACAGTGAGGGACAGGGCTTCTCCATGGATAGCTTACCGTTGGTAATAACTAAGGCTGAAACATAATGAGAAGTTCCCAGCAAATTCATTATAACAAAGCATGTGAGTTCACTGGGCACAAAATAGGCTGAAGAAAAGTGACTCCCCATATGAAACCTAATTAGATACTTTGATCTCAGAAAACAGAGCAGGGAGAGTTGGAAAATCAGGCCAAAGTGAAGAACCTAAATCAAATGAAAAGAATAACTTTTCTCTTTCCCTCCCTCCCGCCCTCAACCCCAAACAGACATATCCTCCCTCCTTCCCTCATTCTTGTTCTGTATCTCTGCCTCTCTGATCCTCTCCTTTTCTTCCTTTGCAATGAAGGGGGAACGAGATTCAGAACAATGGATTGTAAATTCTTCAGCCAATTAGTCCAGCGACTTACTACTGTTTATAATGCACAGAATGTCAGAGGCTGTTTTGCTGCCTCCCCAAGTTGGTTTGTTAATAACAGGAAGCTAGCACTTCTCAGTACAGTGGATCAGCTACACGTGAAAATAAATGCAAAAAACCTGGAGGGGAATAGCAGCAGACCGAGAGTAGCCTTGATTTAATTTAACATTTGGGGGTCTACACACAAATGAGCATTTTAGTAGGCTTCATGGTGGAAGTTGCTGTCATTTGTAAAATATTCTGGCCAATTAGCTAATAGTGTGCTTGGATTTCTCCTGTTTTGATACAGTAATACTAAGTACATTGTGAAGCCCAATTATACAAATCATCCCCATATGCCATACCAGTCTTTCTTTATGAACTGTGTTTATAAATCCTGTGTGAGGAAATGTGTACTTCAGCAATTTAGACCATGTGTAAAAACATAGCCAATGGGATTGTCAAGAAAACAAGTTCCAGCCTAGGAAATCCTAATGTGTTCCGCTGGAATAACAGGAGGGTGCCGGGAGTGCACTGCTCTGCTTAAATACATATTGCTTTAGAGTGTTTCACTGAGTTAGGGGCTTCCGCTTCCCTTTCTGTTATTTTATTCTTCTTTTCTTTTAGGATCCAACCTTGGAGTTTTTGAGAAAATTTGGGATCGGTCTTCTCTCGGGCACCATCGCCTCCATCATTAACATCCCCTTTGATGTTGCCAAAAGTAGAATTCAAGGGCCTCAGCCAGTTCCCGGAGAGATCAAGTACAGAACCTGTTTGAAAACGATGGCAACAGTCTATCAGGAAGAAGGGTAACGCATTCTTGTTTTCATAAATGTGCCAGACTCCATTTAAAACCAAATCAAGCTTCCTTTCATATTGTTGGGAGCATGAAACCCATGCAAAACTGGGTGTGTGTCCCAGAACGCTGTAAAATACAAACTGCAAGAACACGAAATGAAATATTGGCAACACAGTTTTAGCTCATCAAGAAATATAATTCACCATCATACCAAATGCCCCACTGAATACTAAGCCTCTGAATTCTAAGATGAACTTTTCATTTGTCATTACTATACATAACACCTGGGCAGAAAAATGTCTTCTGACTGTAACTCAAAATATAAATGTGTTGTAAAGGGAGTTTTAAGAATTTAAAACATGTGGCTGGAGAGATAGCATAGTGGGTAGGGAGTTTGCCAACCCGGGTTCGAGTCCCAGCATCCCATATGGTCCCTTGAGCACCTGAGTGGAGAGCCAGGAGTAACCCCTGTGCATCGCCAGGTGTGACCTAAAAAGAAAAAAAAAAGAATTTAAAGCATATCTTTTTCTTACAGTTTTAAGTCTTGATTTCTGTCTCTCCATCTTTCCTCACCCAAGTGTTACTCTAAGTAAACAAGTAATATTTTGATCTAACCAACATCACATTTCCTTATGTAAGACTCAGTTTGTGGGTCTTTTAACTGCAATTACAAAAGCCATTTTTCCTTACACACAACTGCCTTAAAATTAAGCCCTATCTTGAAAGCAAAAATCATCTCACTGATGAAAGTCACATTTCTGATTGGAAAGGACCATCATAACTTGAATAATAAAGAGTTGGTTAACTGTTTTCCCTCATCCAATTTGCAGCAGAAACTATTCAGCCAGTCTGGTTTGGGATGTACATAATTTCAAAACCTTTTTTTTTTTTTTTGGTAAACTCTGGGTTACCACCTCAATAAAATCAAGGCACTACTTTATATTTTATTTTCAGTGTAAGAATGTATTTTTTTCCCTTGCCATTACAGGATTTTAGCTTTGTACAAAGGCCTGCTTCCCAAGATTATGAGGCTTGGACCAGGTAATGATGTTTTATTACTTAAATCATTCCTTCTTCATTGTTCTGGTGTTTCTTTTTTCTTTTCCCTTATGTGTTTCTGTCAGCAATACAATGAAAGTTTACCTCACTGAAAGATGAAAACCTTGAAGATACACAGATGTATATGAGAATAAAAAATACTAAAGGTGCCCATTACAAATGTTCTACCTTTGTTTATAAGGTACTATTTCTTGCCTTGCTGGAGTTGATAGAACCAAAACCTTCTTAAGTGAATAAGACAAGACCCACAGCCAGTGGGAGTTGGAGCGAGGAGATACACACATGCTGACTTCTGACTGAAGGGGAGGATATTCAATAAGGGAGGCATCAGCCCAATAAAACTTTTTCTCATGCTTCTCTTCATTTCAAAGAGAGACAGAGAACAACGTGCCTCCACGGACAGTAGGAGTCACTTGTCTTCACAATCACCTCTGGAAAGTGGCAAAACTGCAGGTTGGCACTCACTTTCCTGGGCTCTGTCAGCAAGACAGTGGATGCTCCTGGCTCAGGGCCTTCCTTCCCTTGGGAATACAGCCCACAAAAAGCCAGCTGCCATTCCCACAGGGAGAGTCAGCTGCTTCTATGTAAATAGATAAGAAAATAACTGCTGCAGACTCAACCGCCTGGGCAAATAGTCATGTATTATAAGGAACCTTGTGAGTAAGTACAGAAGTACAGGGCACACTTTTTTTTTTTAACAAGGCTACATTCATTCAGACATCTTGGAGATCTTTCCTAGAATCTTCTCTCTCTCTCTCCCTTTCCCACTTCTCCCTTTTAACACTAATCTTCCCACCACACTCACACACATGCACATTTTTTGTAGCTCCCGACCCAGTGAACCAACATTTCTACCAACCTGTAAATTTATGCTGGTAAGCATTTCATACTTTCATGTATTTAGAAAACACGTCCACAGTTCCTGATCATCTATTCCAAACTTCCTTAGCATGGGTTTTGCTCTGCATTTGCTAGTTAGACCTGCCTTCTGTTAGTCATTGGCCGTGTGAGAGGAAAAAAACCAAACCCAATAATAAAGAATATTGGTGATTTGATATAACTCTCCCTCCCTTCACCACACAGTATAAAACTTCTGGTAGACCTAGTATTAGAGTAAATCATAGCACTGTTCCTAACCCAGCTTTCTCTGAGGAGATAGGCCTAAAAGGGTGGTAACCAAGGGAGAGTTTAGCTAAAACAGTAATTGACTGGAACCTTAATTCCTAAACTCTTCAATAATCCTACCCCATGTTTTGTTAGAGGCTTAAAATGATTGGTTAGATTTTAAATTACTTTGCGAAAAGTGTCCTGAGTTTCTGTGTATTAACCCAATGGAAGGGATTAATAACAATTAATTAATTAACAGTTGACCTTACTGTTCAGGCTAAACAAAGCAGAATAACTAGAATTCTCATTCAAGAACAAGTCTTCCACTCCCATTCCAAATGGGCAACTTGCAGCAGTCTTAAAGGAAAGAAAGGTAAAGAGAAAGATAAGACCTTTTAGTTTAAGATAAGATTTTTTATTCCTTAAAGAGGGACAAACAGCAGTAAAAAAGAAATATGAATCTGGAATTTCATTGATATTTCTGGTAAAAGATCCCATCTTCTTTTTTTAATGTTCTGAGCAGCCCTATTTGATTAACAATTAGGTACCTCTTAAGAAAGGAGCATCTTTTGAGAGCAACACCAGGAGAATTACTCCATAACTTAGAGGCCAGCTGGGTATTCTAGGGGAAAGGACAATTCAGATAGAAAGGGGAACACCAAGTGGAGGGTGTTTGGAGGATCCTCCCAGGAGGGGAGATGCAGGTTGAAAGTAGACTGGGCTGAACATGTTCGCCACTCAATGCCTCTTTGGCTGATCACAGCGCCCAGGAGGAGAGAGAGAACAGGGGGGAATGCCCTGCCACAGTGGCAGGGGGGGATGGGGGGATGGGAGAATGGGGGGGGAGGGATATTATCCTGGTGGTGGAAAATGGGCACTGGTGGAGGGATGGGTATTTGATCGGGGTATGACCGAGATCCAAGCACAAAAATTTGTAAATCTACAACTGTACCTCATGTCGTTTCACTAATAAAAAAGAAAAAAAAAAAAAAAAAGAAAGGAGCATCTTTGAGTCTGTGGATTCAACTCCTAGTAGCACTAGACTGAGAATGGACCCAATTCTACAAGTTCTCGTATTACACTGTGAACAGTGAATAAGAATAAACATAGCAATTACATACATATTAACAATCCTCTCTAGCTCATCCCTTTTTTTGTTTGCCCAAACTCCGAGAGGCCTACAACAGCTGAAAGGAGACTCGTTGAGTATCTTCATGGGTTAAAAATGAAAATTACAGGCAGATAATTATCTTTGGTATATAGTTACACAAACATGTGTGGCCTGTAGATTAAAAAGAGAGAGAGCGCATATGGTAGTGTGTACAAAATAACCAAGATCAAAATCAAGTTTTATTTCTTTCCATCAGAAGTCAATCTTCTGTTCATGCAGCCAAGTCTTCTCTAAGTTGTGCTCAGATATTGTCCACATTTTGATTTTATAATATTTTTCACACAGACAAAGGGATGACTAGAGATTGTCTTAAAGGAAACAGCACATATACTACATCAAATAAAATACAAAATCATCCACATACAAATGCTTTAGGAAGACAAGGTATTCAGTGACCTCAGGGCTGGTCATCTACATCATTACTGTAAAGGTATTACTTAGAAAGCTTCTTTGCTTTCATATATAAATATAAATTTATATAAGTATAAGGCTGGAGCGATAGCACAGCATGTAGGGCATTTGCCTTGCATGCATCCCAGTTGGCCAACCCAGGTTTGATTCCTCTACCCCTCTCGAGAGCTCTGCAAGCTACTTACCGAGAGTATTCAGCCCACATGGCAAAGCCTGGAAAGCTCCCCATAATGTATTCAATATGCCAAACACAGTAACAAGTGTCACAATGGAGACGTTACTAGGCCCGCTGGAGCAAATCGATAAATAACGAGAGGACAGTGACAGTGATGTGAGAGTATATAAGTTTATAAATTTATATAAATATAAATAGCTTCTTCCAAGACAATTGTCTATAGTATCCAGTCCCTTCTACTGAATCTTAAAGGTCAACCCAAATATAGCTGAGGTAGACAAAAGGAATGAAGACAATAGAGGCTGCAAGGTAGCTAAATTTTGCAATCACAACTTTTTGAATACTCAGAAATTATTTTTCACATTGTAATTCAGTTTTAAAGCCATAAGAGAAAAACAGACTGCCCATCAATCACCATTCAGAGATTTCGCTCTTGGATGCAACTACAACAATTCTAAAGATGGACTGAAAAAGTTAAACCTTTGTCTGCCTATGACGACTTTAAAGGCTTCTGTTTAAGAAATACCACCACATACCCACCCATGACTAAATGTTTCTATATTTATTTAGCTTTGAAAATAAATTATATCTTAATAAATCTGATAAAAATGATATAAAAGGAAATTCATAGGGAAAATATGTATTGGAATACTCAGGTGATCTTGATTATTACCCTAGAAATTTTCCACCATCGTTTTATATCTCTTTTAGCTCAAGAACTGAAGATTTACCATAAAATAAACCCCACAAGATAGGCTGTGTGGTACTTCATGGATTCAGAAACCCAGTGGGAAAACACATCCATTTGTACAGGCTCTGCAATTAAAGACCAACTCTTTTTTTTCTAGGTGGTGCAGTGATGCTGCTGGTTTATGAATATGCTTACTCATGGCTTCAGGAGAACTGGTGATTGCCTATGAAGTGTTTCCCCCTTTCTGATCATGGATATTTGCTATATAGCACCTTAGAGACTAGAGTCAGCTAAACTAATTCAATTATAATATGATTATGCAACATAATAAAGGGGTAAAACTATTTGTCAAGAACAAAACCTATCTGGGTATTTCAGAAAATATCCCTAAGCAATTTAAGCTTGTTTTGTCATATCCATAAAATCATAAAAGTGTTAAATAATAAAGTATATACACTGAATAATAGAAAAATAGCATAGAAATCAGATATATCTCATACCAGCAGTGTATGCTCCACTTAAATTGCTTCTCCATAAAAATTTATTATGTTGACAAGTTTTTTTTTTAAGAAGCCAAGAAATGCTTAAATTTTTTTTTTTTTGGCTTTTTGGGTCACACCTGGGCTCTGCACTCAGGAGTTACTCCTGGCAGTGCTCAGGGGACCATATGGGATGCTGGGGGTCGAACCCGGGTCAGCCGCGTGCAAGGCAAACGCCCTACCCGCTGTGCTATCTCTCCAGCCCCGAAATGCCTAAAATTTTTTAAATAAACCATTCTATGTCAATTTTTAAAGAATTACTCAACAAAGAACTGGGTTAAAGATTTGTTAAGACAAAATTTAAAGTTCTTATTAAGGAGTTAAATTTTTCTATAAGTAACATTTAAAAACACAAGGAAAAAATTTTTAAATCCACTGAAATATTGAATCTTGTTAGTTATACATTAAAATTTAAATCCATAGATTTTCATTAATATACATGACAGCAATATTTTCCTAACTCTAATTTATGTATTGCATGGTTGTTTAAAGCAGATTATATTTTTAAATCATTATATTTTAATTCTTTTTGGCAAATAGAAATATGAATTTATCTTAAACTATTTCTTTTACATAATTCCCTTGAAAAGGAATTTTGTTGCTAAAATTTTTTCACATTAAATCACAAATTTAAACCACTTCTTGGGCCAATAGTGCTGCTACATCCAAATACCTTTGGTCAAAACACTTATCTACGATATTCTTAAGATAAAATGGGGGCTGATCACAAAGATAATACAGTAGGTAAAGTGCTTGCCATGCACCCTGCAGACCTCAGCACCCCATACGTTCTACTGAGCACCACCAGGAGTGATTGAAAGGGGCTAGAGAGCTATATAGGAGTTAAGTACTTGCCTTGCATGCTATTAACTTCAGTTCTAATCTCCACCGCCACATATGGTCCCCTGAGCACAGCCTGGGTCATTTTGCTGGGAATAGCCCATGCATACTGCCAGGTGTATCCCCATACACATATGAAAAGAAGGAAGTTAGAGGAAAACTGCGTTTCCAGATTATTAGTTTTAAGTGACCGCATCAGGTGTGACGTTAGCTATCTGCATTGTTAAGATATGAATTATGAAGATGAAACCATTTCAAGATAGAAGTATACTTTAACATTTTCAAAGATTCCTATACTAACATGCACTACAAAAATATTTCCTTGACTTTGATATACAAAACTTGATTCTATATCTGGATACTGATAAGATTCTCCTTCGGTAGCTGAAGTCAACAAAAATAGCTGCATGTTTTATATGCAACCTGTTCTAAACTACTATGGTATATTTCTGCATGTCACTAAAGAATTCTTAAAAAAATAAAAGATAGCATAATAATTATTTCTTTTTATTAATTTAGAGCATTTGAAGTATAAAAATAAAGGCTTTTTGACAAACTGTATATACATACACAGCCTTCAGTTGTACATCCTTTTCAACATGTATTTTAATTTCTATTTCAGCCCAATAGTCAATAAGAAGGTTACTAATAGTAGGGAAACCCCAATGAAATAAGAATGTTCCTGTTGTAATATTCTGCAGGTAATATTCTTCATCCTTGTACAGAGTATTGCTTGCACAGAAGCCATGAAATTGAACCTTCAACCTCTCCATATGCAGATATGGAAAAGAATCGCTGAAGCGTGCATATGCCAGTTTAAAAACAATAATTTTACCCCCTAAGAAAGAGAGGAAATATGTCAGTATTGACCAATAATAATATTTAAAATTCAGACCATCCCAAACAAAAACAAAAAACAAAAAAATCAAGCAATCCCAGAAAGCAAACATAACGCATCCCATTTTCCTTAGCTTATTTTTGAAAGTAGCTTTTTAAGTCACAATTTGTTTTGAGTATCAAATTGTATTTGGAATTTCTATTGTCTTTTAAAATTTATTTTAAGTGAACTAACTATGGTAATAAAATGATCTGGGGGAAGAAAATAAAAAATATGAAAACTTTGATACTATGAATAATAAATTTTTAAAATACAAGAACTAGGAAAAATTATAAATAGCATAGTAACAAGAGATTTCTTAATTTAGATAAAGAAAACATTTCATTGTGTTTCCATACAAATGATTGATATTTTTAAAAGACTCCTAGTAGCCACCTAAAAATATCTGATAAGGAATAATTCTGTACCCTATGTCTTTTTTTTTTTTTTTTTTGGATAACAGGAGAGGTCCCTATATGGCATGGCTTTAAAGTCTCCACCAAAGTATTGGACTGATATCTTTGTTCCATTCAGTTTATAGTCTATTTTCTCACCAGACTGAGAACTCCAGATGTCAATGGGAGTTTTATGAGATCAAAGGAAGACTATGGCCCTGAGAGTTCATCTGCTCCTTCTGCTTATTCTTCTCCTGAAGTTATAATCCTCTGTTTGTATCACTGAATTTCAGTTGCTTTAGAAATAAATGCAGTTCAAAGCTCTTTATAAGATATCTGCTGCTTGAAAAAAGCAGTTCCTGAAACATAACTTGAATGTCAGAAATCTGCTTACTGTTTATGTCCAAGTGATTTGAAAATTTAGCTCATCTAATCATCTGAAGCCATAAAACCAGTAAGACTGAACTGGATTGCCATGTAGGCTGTGCACAGCACAGATAGAAAGGAATCAAAATCACCTAACAAATGCATCTTTACATCCATACCTAGTGATGTGCCTTTTAGTTATTGCACAGAATACAAAAAAACCCACAATATATTAATTTTCCAATAGATGAATGGTACCAATGATTTTAAAACGTCCTTTCAAACCTATATTATTAAGCAGGAGGAACCACCTAACAAAAGAGACTTTTTTTTAAATGTAGAATTTTGCCCAGGAAAATTAATTGTTTTAAAATACAGCTCATAATCACACACTCACACACACATTTACCCCACGGCTCTATAACATTAAAGTGAAAAAAATATCAGCCAAGAGATATGAATTAACATGTGTCCTGTAACTCCCAAAATGAATAAAGGGAATTTGTTAAAATTAAATAGTATTTGTATTTCTAATACCACCACCAGTTTTCCTACTTGTAAAACATGCTTCTTTACAACAATGTAAACTTCACAGCAAGCCATTTTTACATTCACTAGAGCAGAATTTTCCATTTTCTTTAAATTACAAAATAATTTTGGTCTGAGATCGCTAAACACACAGGTAAGCCAACAATAACAGTACAATTTCGTTTCACAGTGGTTCTCTTAATATAAAGTTCATGTAAGTGTCTTTGCAAAAGCATTTCACATTAAACTTAAGTTTCTAAGTGACTTCCTTTAAAGCATTCTTGTTTAGATATTTTTCCACCTCTTTGTCTTTATATGCTTGGCATGTGTGTCGTTTGATTAGGATACAAAATGGGAGACTGGCATGTTTTATCTTTTTTTTTGAGTCTTCTGATGTATAAAGAAAATGTCCTTCATGAGATATCAAAACCATCCTTCACTGCACACACAAAATCTGGGGCAAATCCAGGTCCAGGAGCCCAAGCTACCCTACATCAAACAGGACTGAAAAGATTGCTAGAAAGTCACCTTTGCAAAAAGAAAGAAAAAACAAAAGAGAGAAAGAAGAGTAGGGGGAAGAAGAGTAGAACACCCAAGGAATGAAAACACAGATGCACCATCCAGAGCCCGTATTTACAAATTAATAGAAAATATAAACATTACTGTATTTGGAACCCAGTCAAAACAAGGAGGAGCTAAATTCAGACACTGCTTGCGTGTTAATGTAATTTTCAATTTAAAAATGAAACAAAGGATCACTCAAGTCAATCATTGATTGGTTTTCTAATGATGAATTAAGGCTTACTTGGACACCTTATTTGATTAGAGGGTGTAGCATAACTTTTTTCTGTATGTATTTTCCTTTATTGATTTTGCAAAATCTCTACAATTGCACGTTTCGAAAGTTCAGGTTGATTTAAAATAAATATACACATATGGTTTTACCAAAGACTAGTTTAAAAAGTTCCTTAAGCCCTTTAAGGGGTGCAGGTTTCTTCACTACGTTAAAACAGTGTGTGGGCAACACAAATGTCTTATTCAATCCTTAACAATGCTTTTGTTTTTAAATCCTAAAGTCATGTCAGGTTTTCTGGGAGAGAAAAGTTTATGGCAAGAAATATTTAAGTGTCATCAGCACACAGGATGTAAGTCCTTAAAGCCAACTTTCGAGGCGGGAAGACTGGAGGGCACCAGGCGTGGACTCCAAGACCAGGGAAGAGGGGGTGAGTTTGCTGAAAGGGTTCCCCCCACCCCTCCAAGCCCCCTGCATTGAAGCTGCTGCAGCCCGGATGTCCCATCAGAGTGCAGAAGCTGTGACAGAATGACTCCCTTCTCTGGCTGCTTGCATTCCTTTAAATGCCAGCGATGCGGGAATGTCACAGTTGTGGGGAGAAAGTGGGGTGCCACTGGCATGTTGCCATCCATGTCCAGCAACGTAACCAGAAGGAGCAGCACTGTAGGTCATGTAAGGCGACACTTGGGCCGGGGTTGGATAAGGAGCCATGCTGGATGCTGACACAAAACTGCTCACAGCCGGGAGACCATTTGGTGCCTAAAAAGAGGAAAAGAGAAGTGAAAATAATCACATTATCATCACTCACATTTCATGGCTCTTAGAGAGTAGCAGAATGTAAATCCCACGTAGTTGCAGCAATAATTTGACCTAACATATTTGACTGATTTTGTTCAGCTGGAGCAGTAGTACAGTGGGTAGGGCATTTGCCTTGCACGCTGCCGACCCCGGTTCGGTTCCTGCGTCCCTCTCGGAGAGCCCAGCAAGCACAGAGAGTATCCCGCCCGCACAGCAGAGCCTGGCAAGCTCCCCATGGCATATTCAATATGCCAAAAACAGTAACAACAAGTCTCACAATGCAGACGTTACTGGCAAATTACATGAGCAAATCTATGAACAACCAGAAGACAGTGCTACAGTGCTACAGTTTTATATTTGACCTTGATTTATTCTAAATGCATTCATAATCTTGCTCCAGAAACAGTCAGTGTCAAAGAGAAGATTTGTTTTCCACAAAAGTTTTGTGGAGAAGTTTTCTACAAAAGCTACAACCAGAAAATTCACAGTATTTGTTTTTACTATTTGAAATTACAGGGAGGAAATGCAGAATGAGGAAAGAAGGAATGGTGGTTAAATACTCTTGAATCTGTTCATCTTTCCATGTGCCTTTGTTGACCATTCCTGTACATGGGTTTTGTTTGGCTCTTTTGTTGAGGCATTTGAATGGTGAGGCTTTCATTTCCAGTAATGAAGGGTACAAAGTAACAGCTGTCATTTCAGAAACTCAAAATGAGCATGACTTTTTAAAAATAAAACATGGGTCATATTCTAAAATGTCGTGTTGAAAATACAACTTAGACAAAAGACTTAAAACATCAGACAGTTTCCCCACAAGGATTTTTAAATGAGATTGGCATTATTTTTTCTAGAGCTATTTTACCAAAAAAGAAAGTAAAGTGTCTATTTGAATATAAAAGAACTTCATATGATTTTGAAACTGAAAATTTTGCTTCCAAACTTTTGAGGTGCTTTGATGTGCATTTTTTAACCACATGGATAAATCTCTTGAAATAAATGTAACGTGAAAATCTGAGTTTATAAACAAAACACCACAGCTCTGGCAATCAACTATGTCTAGAAACCAGTGTTCTCAGTTTCAATAGCTTATTGTTGGTATTGTTACTATTGACAACACCAAAACACCCTGATTTCTAAGCCTTACTCTGGCATGAATACTCAACATTCTTCTTCAAATTTAACCCCCGCCCCCAATTTCTAGATTATTTAGAAATAAAGAGTATATCCTGCTTTCTGGTAATGATATAAATGAATCAATATATTAACATATTGAAAATAAAATAGAAATAATAAAATTATTATTAGTAAAACCAATTTAATCCTTCAAGGTAAGTTAAGCAGGTACTAATAAGATACTTTTTCCAACTCAACTGCAACATAAAAATTAAATTACAATCATTTTCTAATTTAATTTTGTGGTTATTTTCATTCACACGTATGGAAATCAATGATTTTCTCCATTTCGAGTAATACATGCAGTGGAACATGTAGATGGATGTGATTTAATGGATTAATGTGTTAATGGATTTCTGACAAAGAATAAAAATGAAAGGTCAACCTCATGCCCTTGAGTTCTATATGGTTTTAGGTTACACCTGGTGGTGCTCAGTGTTTAATCCAGGCTCTGCATTTAGAGGTCACTACTCCTTACAGTGCTCAAGGGAACCTTATGTGGTCCCTGGTCTGCTACATGAAAGGCAAGTACCCTACCCCCTATAATATCCCTCTCTCTGGCCCCCAACTGCTCTTGATCGTTAAGAACAAATGCCTTTGCATTTATCACTGAAGTAACTTCCCTGGCCCTGAAGTT